TATGGGCTTCCGAAGGCGACGTTAGGCATTTTGGACCGCCTTCAAAACCATCTCGGCAGCCGGCAGGCCTGTTGCGGGCTCTCTGTGGCCTGTCCGAAGCCTGCCTCCTCTCTTCTTATGGGCTTCCGAAGGCGACGTTATAGGCATTTTGGACCGCCTTCAAAAGCCTCTCGGCAGCCGGCAAGCCTCTTGCGGCCTCTCTGTGGCCTGTCCGAAGCCTGCAGCCTCCTCTCTTCTTATGGGCTTTCGAAGGCGACGTTAGGCATTTTGGACCGCCCCCAAACCCCTCTCGGCAGCTGGCAGGCCTGCCTCTTCTCTTGGCCTGTCCCAGGCCTGCCTCTTCTTTCTTATAGCAGGCCTGCCAGCAACGTTAGGCCTTTTGGACCGCCCCCAAACCCCTCTCGGCAGCTGGCAGGCCTGCCTCTTCTCTTGGCCTGTCCCAGGCCTGCCTCTTCTCTTCTTATGGGCTTCGATCCGAAAGCAACGTTAGGCATTGTGGACCGCCCCCAAACCCCTCTCGGCAGCTGGCAGGCCTGCCTCTCTCTTCTTATGGCTTCCGAAAGCAACGTTACGCATTGTGGACTGCCCCCAAACCCTTCTCGGCAGCTGGCAGGCCTGCCAGCAACGTTAGGCATTTTGGACCGCCCCCAAACCCTTCTCGGCAGCTGGCAGGCCTGCCTCTTCTCTTCTTATGGGCTTTTTCGGAACGTTAACGCATTTTGGACGGCCCTCAAACCCTTCTCGGCAGCTGGCAGGCCTGCCTCTTCTCTTCTTATGGGTTTCCGAAAGCAACATTATAGCCATTTTGGACCGCCCTCAAACCCTTCTCCGCAGCTGGCAGCGCCGTTGCCCAGGCTCCAAACCCCTTCCCGGGACCCTTGGCTGCACATTCCTGCACCGCAGCCTTGCCTGCGAAAGCCGGTGTTATTCATGGTCGCTTTCTATTTCGTCGTGTCGCGCTTGCTCTCCGGAACTAGCCAGCTCTTTGTCGGGCATTGTTTTCCTGAAGGTGTGTTGTGTGTGGCCTGAATGCGCCCAAAGAGCACTGTTGACCAGACCACACTGTGGCATGCGGGGCACCTTTGCGGATGCTGGCGTGTCTGCGCGCTAACAGTGCCTTCTTTGACGTAAAACCGGTTGCCGCACACGGTTCGGTGATCTATTTGCCCTGTTTTCAGCTTGCTCGCAACGTGCCCTTTGCAAAATGGACAAACATAGTTACACTTCCTGGCGGCTACGTCGCCGTCTTTCACACGAAAACGATGCCCGCACGCACGGCGGTGATCTATTCGGCCTGTGCGCACGCTGCTGCTCACCGACGCCTCACAAACAGGACATGCATATTGGAACATTTCCTTCGCGGCCTTCCGTCCAGGTAACTTTGCCGGCGCTGCGTTTGTTTCCTGCGCGGCTGTCGCCGTGGCCTGCGTCTCTTCGGGTGGACCTCGCATCTGGTCCGTTCCCTCTGCCCTCCTCCGTTTTTGCTCTGTGTGCATATTGTTTCTGACCGACTCGTGTTTTGCGCGCTTTGCTGCTGGCTCTTCCGACGCTGCTCGCGTCGTCGCTCTGCGGGGTGGGGTCTTTGTCTCTGTCGGCTCTGCTTGCTTCTCTGGTGGTGTTTTCCTCTGTTGCGCACGGTCAGCGATCTCTTCCCTGACAAGAGCTATGACTTGCTGTCTCTTTTCCTCCGCTACCTTCGTCTGCCATGCAGTCGCACGGCGTATCGCTTGTCGCATCACGCTTCTTCGCAGCAACGGCCGTACGCTGTCCGGGCTTTCTGCCCGAATGCACCTCATTACCTGCTGTCTCTTGTCCTGCACTCGCAGCTTGTCTAGTCTGCCCTTTGCCTTCTTTGCAGCCGCCCGGATTTCCCTTGCCTGGAAGCACGGATTGCAACGCTGCTTTCCATTACGCTGCTTTCCATTTTGCCTCGTGCTTTGCCGTGTCCACGCGCTGAAGTGCTCGCGTGCTTTTTGCGCACTGCACACTCCGCAGCGCCAATGACCGGTCACTTTCACTGCGCACTCCTTGCAATAACGTCGGTCTGCATGTCGCGCCTTCCACGCAGAAGCTCCAAACGCGCTCGCCGGCTTTGCCACGCCGCACTTGCAGCACGGCTTCTGCACTTCGCACGTGTGGCACACGCGGTAGAAAGTGCACTGCGGGCGCGCGTATTGCTCTGCAAAGGCGGCCTCGTCCTGCCATGCTTTGCATACGCTGCATTGCCACGGCGTGTTGTTTGCCGCATGGTTACGCACGCATTCTCTGCACACCCGCGCGGCTGCTTCCCGTTTCCACTGCCCTGCAGTGTACCCGCTTTTGGGCTTGCGTTCGCGGCACTCGCTGCACGCTTCTTCTTCTCGGTAGCGCCTGCGTACCGTTGCCCAATCGATGCAGTCCCCACGCCAGGTCTGCAACAACAGAGCCCTCCCCACGCTACATCCTTTCTGGTATGGCGAGGCATCAAAGGGTCTGTAGATGTATAAACCCTCTCTATCTCTCACCCGTGTCACCGCAATGTACGCTGTCATGGGGTCTCCGCCTTCGCCGATTTGCATGTCTGTTATTGCCCCCTCTGCGTAGGTTTGACCCTGTGCGGCGTGGGCAGTCGTTGCAAAGCCTGGGGCCAGCGGAAATTGCCGCCGGACGACACGTAGCATTGGCCGGCTCCTGCCTTTGTCTATGTGCCATGGTTGCCGTTGAAGCGTCACAGGAAAGACGTTGTCCTTGTCCAGGCCTTGGACTCGCCACTGCGTTTTCGTTGTGAATTGGACGAAAATACATGTTGGGGGCTGGTTCCAAATATGTGTCTTTTGGTCTTGTGATATCTCCTGACCTTTTCGCCAGCTCCACCCGACCACCTTGCCTGGACATCCCTTCAGTATGCCTCTGCGGCAGTCCAGGTGGTCTGTTGCCGTCACTGGCATGCCCACGCACAAGGGCAAAACTCCATATAACCCTCCGCAGTCTTGGTCGTGTCGCTGCAGCCACGTTAATTTCTCCCTCCCCAGATCCGGTTTTTCTTGCAATGCACGACTGGAGATAGTATCTTTTGCGATGGCATACTGCACTTCTTGACCCTGCCTCTGTGCCCAATCTTGCGCTCGCAACTTGTTCACATGGTACTTCACTGCGTTCGTCGCAAAAATTGCTTTGGCTCGGTCCTTTTTTCTCCACTTCGACCATGTGCCCCGCGGTATCTACCACGCGTTTCTTTGACGCTCGTTCTTCCTTGCACCTGGGGCATTCATGCAGCCGGATGTGTGCGGGCGTGTATTTGCCCTGCATTAGCTTCCTGCACGTTGCATTCCCACACTCTAAGGTTTCGCCAGACCAACTCCCCTGATCTTCCAAAAGTCTCTATTTAGAGGTTCCACCCTTATTTAAAGACTATAGTCTTTATTTTTTTCAATGAAAAACCTCTAAATAAGGTCTATATACTCTAATTAGAGGTTAAACCCCTTAAAATAGAGAAGGTACCTCCTCTATTTAAAGCTTTAAGCTTTAAATTAGAGACTATAGTCCTTATTTAAGGGATGTTCCAAAAGCCCTTATTTAAGGGATGTTGACTGGCAAGAGAAACGACATATTTTCCATGTTAGAGTCCACTTCAGAGCTCCGGCACATCGTGCTGTGCAGCAAAACGGTCAAACACAGAGAGCCCCACTGCTTTTGCAGTGCTTCCCCCCACCTCTGCGCTCGGCCAAGAGTGCAATCCTACCGCCCCATGTTAAGGCAGACGGCGGAGTGCTAGTCTGGACAAGTTCGAGAAAGGCGTGCAGCTTTGGCTTGGCCGGAAAAGTCTTCCAGCCATGGGCCGCGGAGTAATCACCCAGCGCGACATAGAGAAGGGCGAAGCGCAGGGCAGCCTGTTCTAGAAGTTCTCTGTGAAAGGCCTCTTTGCTCAGCTGCTGGTAGCAGACCTGCAACTGCAGGGCGGCTGCTGCTGCAGTGGCGGCCGCAGGCTGTGTGTGGTCGAAGAGCTCGTTTGTGACCTCGACCGCGAAATCAATGAGGTCCCTAGCTTCACCGGCTTTCGCCCGCAAGCGGGCATAGGCGCCAGGCTGCTTCCAGATCATTGTGGGCTTGAGCTCCAGCAAGCAAGAAGTCTTGCAGGTTCTCTTGTAGTAGGCCTTCATACGCAAGTGTAGAGCGCTGCACTTTTGCGCTTGGTTGCCCTCGAGGTAATCGCAGGCCCAAGCCAAGATGCCCCCTAAGAATTCCAAGGAGATGCCCAAGTCAGTGGTGTGGAGCCAATCCATTTGGAAGGTTTCGGTGGTGACAAATGGAATGTTGAAGGCTGGAGAAATCGATTTCCCATCAGCCACCATCCTGACCAAGAGATCAGCATGGCAGAGGCGGTGGCTGGGCTGTCGCCAGTCGGAGTTGGAGGCCACTTCGCGAATGCGGTCTGGCGTCATATCACATCGATAGCAGCAGCCAGTTTTGTCGCGCCAGCCAGGGAAGCGAAAGACAGACTTGAGGGCTGACCAATCACCTTTGATTTCCAGCAGCACCCCACGGGGCAAAGGCATGGCAGAGCCCAAAGCCTTCTTCCTCCAGGCATCGGTGTCGTCAAATGGCTTTCCGTCTGATCTGGTCTGAGGCCAACAGCCAGTGGCCAACTCTTTCATGAAAGTGGCCAACTCTTTCGCTTTAAGTGGTCCACAAAGTTGCCACCGTAGAAGACATACATGAACTTATCCAACTCTTTCTCCTCAGGGTGCTCTTTCTTCTCGGCTTTGAAGGCAAACTTCTCGACCGACTCAGCAATTAGGCGCTGCACCAGAGAATCCTTGCGCTCAAAGGTCATCGAGTCCGGCTGGAAGGCGTTCATCTCCAAAATCTGGTTCCTGGCAGGGCAGCAAACAAAAAATGTTCTTTTCTGTCTTGGGGGTGGGGACCGCTGTGGGAGTTTAGTTTCAAAAGAGTCCTTGTAAAAAAACCTTCGCGCAGCTTGTCACGGGACTCCGTAGCATCCGTGTGTTGGTTCTCCACACTCATGAGCCACTGGGTATTGTTCTTGCCGCCAGCAGCTTCGAACTCTTTGAGCAGGCCCTCCTTTTCAGCCGCTGTCTTGCTCCAGTACATGTCCAAAAACTGCTGAGCCTGTGACTTCTTCTCTGCATCCTTGGAGTGGTTGGCCCTGTACTTCATGAGGTTCAAGACACGCTGCTGAAGCTGCATCTTCTCTGCAGCACTGGAGACGGTTTCTACCTCCAAGGCCTCAGTCGACTTGCCCCTTTTCAATTTAGCCCCAGCAGCAGGCTCTGCCTTGGCCTTGGCTTTAGCAGCAGCTTTGCCAGCAGCAGGCTTTTTGGGCGCAGCAGGCTTCTTGGGCGCAGCAGCCTTGCTTGCACCAGCCATGGCAAGGACAAGTGGTACTCAAGACAAGTGGCCTCACAGACAGGGAGCTACTCAGGGGTGGAAAAGCTGAGAGCAGCGCCAAGCAAGAGCTGCAGCTCATCTCTCTCTCTTTGTCTCAAAAAAAAGAGAGAGCGCATCGCACTTGCCATCCTGTACGGTGCTCCCAAAAACCGGCAAAAGACAGACAAACACATCGACCCAGCAAGAGAAGAACAAGAAAGGGGACAGGAAGGAGAAACAAACCGGAAGGACAAGATGTGCAATATGTTATGTCCTCAGGTCCTGACTCACAAAGAGCAAAGGACGCCAAGGTCTAGCCCCACCAGTCCAATGAACAAACATCTACTCCAAAGTCTGGGAAACAGACATTGAGCAGAAAGCCTGCGCAGCAAAAATTTTCAAATTTGATTTTTTCAAAAATGTTCCTTTTAATATTAAATTAAAAGGTAGACTTTTGAAAAATTTTTTCAAATTTGAAAATTTTGGTGGGTGTGCGTGTGTGTGTGTTGGTGTTGCGCGCACAACTGCTCCAAAACTCACAACTCGAGTTTGCTTCCAAAGCCACAACCGTTGAACTCCTATCTGTTTGTTTAACAAAGGAAACATTGCCAAATCCAAAGCCACTCAGCTGGCATATTTTTCCTGGCTACAGGATTGGTCGCTGTGACCGGTATGGATTCAGGGCATCTCCTGGCCCACTATACTTATAGGTGCCTCTGGTGAGTAGGGTCTGGGATCCAAACAAATATACCAACCCTTAAAAAACAAACCCTTGCACTTAACAGGTGGTTATATATATATATATATATCTTCATTCATTTGAGGGGTTATACCCACAGACCCAAACATGTTCCAGTGCAGGCTCTAGGAGCTCAGGCGCCACTCTTGGATGTGGCGGAAAACAGCCAACGCGCGGCGCCACATGAGGCATGTGGTGCTCAAATCCGGGGACGCGTCCAGCTCAAGGTTCAACGGGTTCTGCGTGTGTGGAACGACTTCCCACTTGGCGTCAGCAGCAGCAGGCCGAATGTCCTCGAAGGTCTCATCGCTCTGTCCTGCACAGGGTCAGGTGTGCGAAACAAACAAACATGCATTCATTCAGGCCTGACTCCCAAGAGCAAAGGCCCAAAATCATGCGCAAAACACATGAGTTCAAACATATATTGTTTTTGGTTTTGGTGGCTTGCTCCTGACCCAGAAGGCAAAGGAGCAGGCCACCCATAGCTGCAAGAACTGTCAAGTCGGTCGAGAGTCCAGGGGGAGCTGTCCAAAGTCCGCTGCTTCCTTTGAACCCGGCATGCATGCATCGCACACTTTGAGCTGCTGCAAGTCGACTCACTCACTTCAGACCTTGCGCCTCTCTATACATCTAGGCCTCCTGACCTCCCTACGAAGCTAAGGATGCCGTGACTGCCCTGGTGCACTGCTGAACCGTGTGCGCGCGCGCGCGTATGTTGTGCTGTGCGCGGGGAAGCGACATGAACAGGACGAGATACAGAGGGGTCGACAATCGGGGAAAGAGACAAGACCAAACAACAAGACCAAACAAAACACAAATCTCCCCCAAAACAAATTTTGCTTTTGGTTCGCAGCTGTGCAATCAAAGAAGGCCCCGCTTCCGCCAACACGACGGAGTGCAGCCCCTGCGATTTCTGCAGGTTCCACAGCCTTTGGGCCGGAGCTTCTGTCGCTCCGTCCCTAGCATGGTTTTGCCTGTCTTTTCATTGTACAAATCTGGCAGAGGCGACAAGCTTTCCTCCGAATTGGCCTCCCCCTCAGATGCCAGGGCTGCAGCAGCAGGCGCGGCTGCGGGTCGCTTCTGCGCGGGTCTCTTCTTTGGGGCCGAGGCCGGCTTTTTGCGGGTTGCCAAATCCTCCAACAAAGTAGGGCATTCAGTTTCTTCTTGGGCGCCGTCTCGCCAAGTTGCCACTAGGAACCCATTGCTCCCAGCGCTCATCTTAGCTTCCTCCCGACGCCCACCCGGATGCATGCGCACTGCCACACGCTTCTCCCACTCAAAGAAATGCGCCACAGTCGCCCCCTCTTTCAAATCCGGCGCTGAGCTCGCCACTGTCAAAGCCTCGGAGGGGCGTGGAGCCAAGCGCCTGACTTTCTTTGGCCGTGACACACCCATGGCAGCAAACACATCCTGTTGGAGAATGCCCGCATTGTCCGAGCTGGTTGTGTCTGGCCTAGCGCCTGCGCTTGAGGACGCGGCAGTTCCTGACGCCACCGGCAACGGTGTCGCAGAGGATCTGCCCAGGTCGCGCAATCGCTTCACCACACGGAGAACAGAAGCTGCGGTCTTTGCCCCTGACGTCACAGATTTGGCCTTCGTCCTGCACTCTTTGAATGCCTTGTGCAACTGCTGGGCAAACATGGCCTTCTCAGAAGCCTGCACTCCAGTGAATGCTAGCTTGGCAGCAGCTTCCAAGGCTGAACGGTTGGGTCGCTCTGTCAAAGCAAGGATGTCCAACATGAGTTCTTCGTATTCTGTCACCACATCTTCATAGTTGCTCGCCCTGTATTTCTCCTCGTCCAAGTGGCCCACATGCAGGCGCATCAGCCTGCATAGCTCCGCTGCGCTTGCTGTGTTGCGCGCGCGGCCGCCGCTCATGGCTGCCTCAAAAAAAATGGTGCTATATCCAGGCGGCAGCGACTGAGTGGGCACGCGCAGAAGCTCACTGCATTTCAGGTCATTGCAAGCACTCATGTGGACTCTTTCAAATGAAAACCCCTTAAATTAATTAAAGACTATAGTCCTTAAATAAGGTTGATAGAAAACCCTTTAAATTAAAATAGAGACTTTTGGAAGATCAGGGTCCCTGGGACTGATGTATCATGGCCGTGCAAGAATGCATGGCTGTCCGCAGCGAGTCTGCCTTCCCGGATTTGTTTCTGTAGATGTTGCAACCATACATCCCGTGTTCGTTCGCATTGCACGAGTTCGGTCAAGCCTTGGACCACACTCTTCTCCCCTAGCGATCCCCATACCAGTTCCTGCCCATGCACGGTGTGCGCTACTTTTCTGCTTTTCCCACTCGTTAGCATTTCCCAGGGCACCTCTCCCAAGAATGTTCCGCGTGGGGGCGGCAACTGCCATAGGTCCCCGGCCAAAATCACATTCAACCCCCCCGAAGGGCCGAGCGTGAGCGCTTCCTCGTGCATACTTGCTCTGTGCGAGGTCTCGCACCAGCTCCCGGCATCGCAAATCCAACCTGGCCAAAAGCTCTGCGCTGACCATGCTGATTTCGTCTACTATTAGCCAACGCCATTGCACGGCCTTGGCACTCAAGTCCAAGAATTTGCTCCCACTGATTTTGTCGTCTGAAGCACTCTGCCAATTTAGCCCTAGTGCATGGTGAATGGTGTCCCCGTCCAAATCATTTGCCATGACCGCTTGCAGCGTCACAATCTGGTACTGCGACCCACGCGTCCACCCAGCGATCTGCTCGAACAGCTCTTCTCGTATGAGTTTCAATGTGTGTGATTTGCCTGTGCCTGGCCCGCCGTGCAAGGCCCACCGCAGTGGCTCGGGTGTTGCCCCTTCTGCCGACTGCATTTCGGCTTTCATTTGCTCGACTATCCGCCGACAAAACTCGGCTTGTTGGGAGTTGCATTTGCCTTCCCTGAGGTCCTGGCTCCAGGCGTCTAATTTTCGGAGCGTTTCTGACAGCTGGACAGGTCGTTGCGTGACGGATGGCTCCATGGTGCTCCACCGGGCCCCCTGCAGGGATGGGGTCTTATTGCGATGCAAGCCTTTCACAATATCTTTGCACTCTGTGTCCACATATGGGTTTTCTGCTTCCCTCTGCATTGGTTTGGCATAGCCCTTACCCCCCCCACTGCTGCTCCGCCTGTTGCAGCGCTTCGACTATCAAACTTCGATGTTTGGACCACTTGCTTTCTTTCATCGCCTCATTCACTGGCACGTGTGTTTGGCAAGCTTCGGTTATTAGCTCTTCGGTGACGGTTAACTCCTCCTTGTCGTCTTCATTGTCGCTGTTTTCCATGTCAGCCTCTGGCCGCACCCTATACACAGCCAAAAAATTGCCTACGTATCGCTTGGTCTCTTCGCATGGCAATTGCAGCAACCACCTTCGTAAGCTTTTCTCCCATGTCTCTTCCAGCCCACGCAACTGCCTAATGTATGGCACATGCTTGGTGCCACGTTGCTTCTCCAAGGTCCATGCACGAAAATACGTCATTGTCAGCTTTGCGTTGCTTTCGGTGTCCTCCCCGGCCCTGTTTGGCACTGGGGCGTTTCCCATGTGAGGGCACTCCGGCCGGCGCCTGCGCTGCAGGGTCCAACCGTGCCGCATTGCAGCTCCCGCACTTGCTGGGAAGAATGCCCTATCAACTGTTTGTGGCGAGTTCTTCCTCCGGAAGTCCACCCCTGGAAGCAGCCGAACTTGCGTCTCTTCGGCAGTTGCTGCCTCCAACTTGGCTTCCCCTTTTGCCGCGCCGTTCCTCCACTCACAGCGGGTCTGCGGCACGCGCATGGGCACCAGCTCCCAAATGGCGACAAACACCAGAGATCCGCGCGTGATGGTCTATGTCCGTAAGCATGCGCTGGGTTAATTTCTCTTAACCTTTGTCGTCCTCCTGGCCCTTTTTTTGTCCAAAGATACTTTGGGCCTTGCGCCTCTCCACTGTCCTCGTTGAATGCCAGGTCAACAGCTTGCAGCAGCGCTCGGCCGGGAAAGCTACAGCAAGCAGCTGTGCTTATTCTTTCCGCCGCAACCACGCAGCTGCTCTTTTGATATGCGCGCAGGTTGCAACACTCGACTTGCCCTCGCACAATGCCTTTGCAGTATGCGTCACTTAAGAACCGCGCTGTGGTTCGCTTCCCTATTTTTTCTATCGGCTCCTTCCGCATGTCTTGCTGCAACTGTTGGTGGCCCCGTTGCATTTCTTTGATCTCGTGGAAGGCCATTGGCTGGTTCTTTGCGCAATAGTCTGCGCAGTACCCTGTCTGCGCATCCTGCGCACGCTGCACCGCACGCACTATCTGCCGCTTTTGCTGCGCTGATAAGTTCGGCCCGCAGCGCGCGCAGTCGAAGGGGACTCTGTATGGCACTTGCACGTCGACATTGACTCCCCGTAGGCTTGCCAACAAGGCAGGGTGACAGCAATTGAGCCACTCGTTTGTGTATGGGCCGTGCAATGACCCCAGGCGGTTCTTGCAGCCTTCCGTGGCCATACCATGGGCTTCTGCTCTGCAGGGGCATAGCACCTCCGCAGCAGGTGTCAGCCACGCGCTGCGGGGGAAGTCGCTTTTGCAGACCCCGGGGCGATCTGCTCGTTGGCAGCCATGCAATGGGATTCGTTCCCCTGTCTCAGCACTGGGTGGGTGGTAATGATGTTGCTTCAGGAACTGCAAGCTACTCACGTCATCGACCAAATACTCTTGCGCCCAAGCTCTGCCCTCTTCCTCCTCGGACATTGACGCTTGCCACGCACGACGCTGTTGGTACGCGGGGACCGTTATCATTTCCAGGGCATCTTTGTGTTCTGGCCACGATGCTTCTGCCTTCGCTATGCCTGCTTCCATGTCTTCGGGATCATGGCCCTCATGCACGCCATACATTACACGCGCATTGTACTCCAAGTATGCGGCTCTGATCGCCGCGATCTCGGTGCTTCCCATTGCGAAGATTTCCTGCAGTGGTGTATGCTGGTGCAAGCATTGGATAAAGCATTGGCAATGCGCGTGCAATGATCCGGTGGACTTTTGCGCTTCAATTGTGATGTAGGCTGCATCCATGCGTCCAAAGACGCCTCCAAGCAGTGTAGCGTTACTTCCTGCTTCATCTTGGCATGGTGTAGCTGCGCGGTCTCCTCGATTACAATCTGGGCACGCAGGGCAAGCTTTAAGCCCAAATAAGTGTTCTAGCACTAATAGCACCACCATACGGAACCCGTCCACGCTGGCCAAAGGATCCCGCGCCAACGCTTGGCGCCGCATATCCCAGCATGGCAACAGCCGCTGCAGTCTCTCCAAGTGCACTGGCCACTCCTCATGGTCCACAGGAGGATAATCTCGGTCTCCTACGTTCCAGTCTTGGTACAGGGACACTGCACGCACCGGGTCACTACAGCGTGTCCGGGCCATGCGGACATAGAGCATTTGGTGTGCTTCATCCGGCGAAAAGGTCACAAACAGTGGGACGCCAAAACGTATACGCAAGGCTTCAATCTCAAAGCGCATGCGCCTACGCGCCTCCTGCGTTCCTGGTAATTCTTGCGCGGTGTGCCGCATGTTTTGTAGCAGCTTTCGCGCAGCTGGCCGCAGGCCACGGACATACTGCAATTTGCTCACATCCATGTTTACTGCTTTTGGCTTCCCTCTTCTATCCATGTAGTGGCCTTGCAGCGCCTTCAGCAGCTGCGTCGCCCCCGCTTCAATATCTTCTGGCCGCAAGCGCTGCCACGCACTCTTAGTCTCGTCATACACAGGCGCTTTTAAACAAAGCCACGTTTCGGCTTAAGTTCAGGGCTGACCGAAAAAATAAATTCCAAGCCGAAAATCCGAAGACCCAGTCGCGCGCCACTTGCGCTTCACATCGCCGCGCCATGATTTTCACCCAGTCCTTCAGTTCTACCCTTGGCGCGTCTGGGCGCCGCCTAAAACGGGCCTTCGCAGTCCATGCCGGAGGGTCTGGCATGCCTGTGCAATACTTAAAGACATATGGGAATGCCATTCCAAAATATTGCGGCTGAAATTGGTCCAGCAGTTTATTTCCCGTTCGCAGCAGGAATTCTGGCGCGTCGTTCTCACCAATTGCTCCCTTCGTTGCGGTGGCCTGCAACGCCGAAACATGGCTTGCGTTGATGTCGGTCAACCCCACACTGCTTTTTTCAGCCACAACAGCATTTGGCTTCATCATGCGCTTGAATTCTTCTGCCTCTCTCACTGGCGTGGCCGCTTTCTGTCGCATAATTTGGTTCAGAGCATCATCTAGGGGCAGCACCGAAATGACTTCTTTGGGCACGCCGTCTTCTGGCAGACTGGACGCCTTGTAATACATGGCTTCCATTTCTACTTGTTGGTAAGCGGGGTGCCCGCGCTTCACCGCATCTTCGATCAGCCGCACTACGACTTTGCGCCGCACGCGCGCCTGGTGTATGACGCGGCCCACCTCCAAGTCATCCCCTTTGGCATGGGCACTTTTCACGATTACACTCACCATTTGCCGTAGCACTTCCCCACAATGTGGTAGCTCACCTGTGGCACCGTGCTTCTGGCCTTTACTCCTTTGCTCTAAATCTTGCATCTGCTCCAGCAAGTCTTCCCACGCTAACGGGAAGGTCGTTGCGTTGCCGCGTGCTGCCAGCCGCTGTCGATTCATCCATTGATCCTGGTCTAGGGCACGCTCGCCTCGGAGCATTTTGCTCCAGGCTGAAGCAAATCATTGTCGTTAGACAAGGGCTTGCGCAAAGCATCTCCATGACTGTCACCTCCAACTCGAAGACATCTTGCGGCGCGTAGTATACCATCATATCATTGCTTAAGGCAGCTAGTGGCTGTCTTTTGTCCCTCCACAAAGCCTGCCGACAGTCCTGGCAAAGCGGCACCTCGCATTGTGTACACATTTCATCACTCTTGCACCGTTTCCGGCAAACTTTATCCTCTGGGCAGCATATCAGTGTTATCCCGACGCCCTGCAGCTCTACAACACATGACCACTCCTGCAGTTCTCGCCTCATCTCTGCTTCGGCAAACTCCGTTGCCCCCGCTACGTATTGTCGCACATAGGAGTCCATGCCCAAGAGCTTCTCTGCCTCTACCATGTTCAGGCCGAAAATTGAACTCTGACTGCTGTTCACCGGTCGCACCCAACCTATTGATTGGTTACGCCCCGTCGTTATATGCGGGTACTTCTGTGCACACACAAAGCACAGCAATGTCGAAACATTGTCTGCTTCCAAGCTTTGCCGGTATGCTCTCAGAGCGCGCCTGTCTATGGAGACATTTGCTATCGGTGCGCACTGCTGGCAACGCCAAGTCATGGCTGCCCTGTACAGCCGCAGCTGGTCTTTTTGTGTCAGCACTTCGTCCCAGGTCTTTGCAAAAGCGTCCTTATGCGCTACCCCTATGTGCGCAATCAGCTCTTCCTCGCTGTCTGCTTGGAACTCACACGCCTTAAAGCTGCAATGTACATTTGACAGATCATATGCGACAGTTCCGTCCACTTGTTGCCGTCCCCATGGCAACGTGGGCTTATCGCTCATCTCCTCACCTAGCCGCTGGATGCGCACTTCTTCGCGACGTCTTGGGTCGCTGCTCCTTTCGACAGCGTCCAAACTCAGGAGGTATAAGTCATCTTCAAACCAGGCTCCGTCTTCTGTGGGCTTATGCAGCGCCGCAAGATCTTCACTGGCGGGCGCCGCTGTTTTTGTGCGCAACCGTTTCTGTGGGCGCCACTCCACCGCTTGACGCTTGCCAGTCTCTAAACCTTTGCGCTTTCTTTCAACCTGGCCTCTGCCACCTGTGCTGTCTCTGGGTGGCCGTTGCGTCAGAGCAGCGCCTCGTCGAACTGATGCACGTACACCTACTCGTGTCCTCTTGCGCGCACCTGGGCTGCTTCTGTTTCTGCGAGCCGTTGCCTTCACTTCACGCGCGCTGGGGCTGGGGCCCTCCTGCCTCGTTGCTGGACGCAACAGGTCAAAGTGGAAGCCTTGTCCTGCTTCAGTTTTGTGGTTGTAGACATGCAGCTCTATGCCGGAGGCGCTGCCGCAATCTGGTGTTTTGTATTCACATGTCTGTAGATCTGACGTTTCCATCATCAACTCCGCGTGGTCCAGGGGGTCATGGAATCTGACACGGACAAACCCACTCTGCTTCCAGCGTTCCACCAAAAAATATTCCAAGATTCGCGGTGCGTCTCTGTGCCCGTCTAAGAACACACCTTCTGGCACACCAAATTGCTTTTGCAAGTGCGTGCGGCAATCTGCGCACATCTCACGCCGTGCCTCCGCCGTCATCTGCTCGGGACACACTCCCTGCAAGTGCAGGCCCAGCGCCAGCGAATCAATCAGACAATTGTTGACTCCATACGACTCCGCTGTGATCAACTCCAAGCCCAAGCGCTGTAGCTCTTGCAGTCGCGCTGCATTCGTCTTCGCCTGCGTCGGGATATTTGCTTGGGCCACACGAAGAAAACGCTGGGCCACCTCTTTGGCTGCGGCGTCAGAGGGGCTCTCCCCAAGCTCCTTCCACCCATCCCAACCATCTACCCATGACTGAGAGAAGAACCCTGCGACGGCCGCAGCATCCCCTAGCTCGGACAGGCAGATGGCTGTTACTGCTTCTCTGGCGCCGCCTCCCGAAAAGTGGCCCTTGCCCGTTTTCTTTACGATCTGCTGTGCTGGCTTGGTCGCCTTTGCATTGCAATCCCAGGCTTGATCCCCTTCTTCGTCCCTCACCCACACGTTGCCTCTTCCCATCTCCCCGCCAATCCACTCGCGAAGGCTTTTCACCCTCTCTATGCTATTTGGTTTTTGCGCTCTACCTTCGAAGCCCCTCTGTCTGTCAAGCACCGGCACAGCACAGACACACTCAGCTCTTTGGGTAGTAGACTTCCCCTCCAGACCCGACCGACACAGCAGGTGCAGCTTGACGGGCTCATCGCCCTGGAATGCACAGAGCAACACAGCTGCCACGCTCAGAACCATGCCGAACACATCGTTCTGTCCTTGCAGTTGCGGCAGATATGGCAATACCCACTCTTGCCAACGGCCTACACAGCCACCTCTCGCGGATGACCTCAACGACACATAGGCGTACGCACGCCGCCGACACGTGCTACACAGACCCTGCCCTGCGCCGCGCAGCCCCTGTTTTGTCGTGGCAAAACTGAGGTTCCTGCTCTCCGGCTGCGTTTCTTTCTCGGCCAAGAGCTGCGTCCTATGAGTACCTGCGTTCACGCTCACCACTCTTGGTCGCACCGCTTGTGAGCAGGGCCTTGGGGCAGCGATTGGCAAGCTGGGAGTTCTATGTGCTTTGGGCCAGGTCGATGCCCAAACACCCAAACTGCCTGTGGCACAATGGCGCGCGGGGTCAAGTAAGATCGCGCCAGGGTACCCAGGCTATGCCGCATCTTTCGCTCCGCCCGTCGTTGGTCCTCCGCGTACGTACCACTCGAACAAGCCTTGTTGACGGCTGGACTTGCCACACCTGCGCCTCTTCGCGGGGGCTCCCCTATCGCTAGCAACCCGCGCTCCGCTCCCCAACCTGTTCCGCGTCTCAACTCTTCCGAGGCATCAGGCGCCACCCTAGGGGCGCCCAAGCGGGCACGGGACAGACCCGCTGAGTGCTGTGCAGCACCTCGCGCACTTACAGCCCGCGCGGAAGGCCTAGCGCTCACTATGCTGGCGCTGGCAGCCTCGTGCATTTTGTGCCCGCACGGAAGGCATGGGACCGCCTGGGTCGCCCTCATCGCTCTCGATGACTTGAGCCTTTACTGCGGGCGGCACCGCGGCTGCTTCGGCCCTGTAAAGCCTCAACCTCTACAAACCCTTTCCTTGCTGGATACCATCGACTTCCATAAGCACGTGAGGTTGTATAAAAACCCCCTATCCTTTTGCCTTACCACTTTTGGCGTTATCGTGTTTTTTCTTGTCAAGGTTTCAGGCACACAGCTCATCTCAGCTTTCCTGACAAGGACTGTGCATACACTGGCGCGTCCGTAGTGTAGCCTAAGCCCGGGTAAAAGGAATCAAGAATACAGAGTCTTGAGCACATAGCCGGTGTATGCTTATAGCAATCCCTGTCCGGCTTCTGGTCTTCCAGCTCCTCCCCCAAGAAAAGGGGTCGGCGGCACCAGGGCGGAGCCCTTACTATAAGTTGTAATACGATGTAATATGCTTTAAGACAGCTTTCCGCGGAGTCTGAGCGTTTCTGTCGCCTGAAACGCGAGGTTTGCAGGTGCGACGCCAGCGGTTGCTTGTCCAGCGATGGTCTCGGGATGGAAAAAAAGCACAAGCTTGCCGTCATTTCAAGCTTTCGGGTCTGCAAAATCACAACATGAAATGAAACTAAATTGGACATTTGCTCGCGTTTCCTCCAGAAGCCCCTTTTTTGTGTCGTCTTCCAAGCACTTCGCCAGTGCTTCTGAAAGGTCATCATCTTCAGATCGTGAGCAGCAACGGCCTGCGAAGGACCTCCAAGTGTGGCTTCAATGTGTTAACTTCAATGTCGTCGGCATTGGACCAAATGATCTAGATGCAACACAATAGAAAACATAGAACAACGATGATGACAGGAACGAGATAAAGAGAATTGAAGAAAACATTCAGAATGAGTTCTCTATCTTTGCCTCCTGCTTGTTGCCCGTGAAATCTCTGTGGCAATGACCTCATCCACGTTGCAGTCGGTCTGGTTGGTGGGATTCGTCCTGTCGCGACTTTCGGTGCACCACGCGCGCCCACGGTGCCTCCGAGGCCTGGCGGTCTCCACATCTGAAAGTTCCTCCTGGACGCACGCGGCGAGCTGACCAAGCACGGGGAGGGGGAGATGGGAGATGGTTCCAGGAGCTCAAAAGGGTCGTCCTTGGCGGGCAAGAACTCCGTGGTTTGGAGGAGATGCTGTCCATCTTGTCCAAGATCCAGCCTGGAAAGGGGCGGATGGACCAAAATGAGCAACTTCCTAAACAACACCACTTGACACGACTTGAAAAAGCAGATTGCCCTGCCTGGCATCGAACAGCCGCATCAACTCATGGCGAGGTTGATGCATACTGCAAATGAGAAGTCGTCCACCCTGCGATTGATCGGCTGGTGTGAGAAGCTGGATCATGCTCGTATACTGTATATATTTGCATACACTTTGGATTGGAAGGTGCAATAGGTATACACTAGAGCGCCGTCGAAGCCTTGCAGCCAAGTCCTGTGCTCACAGGTATTTGGAAAGTCCGACCTGACTCTAACTACTGAGCCTTCTTGAGGATGTCAGTAGATGGACATTTGCAAGACCACACGGGCCACCGAGTGGTGTAGTCAAGTAGTACTAGCCGGTGACTGCAGTTGTTGGATTCAGACACTGGCACAAATTGTGCTTGGAAAGGTTTTTAACTGTTGGACACACCCACACACTGACACACAGGGTACCAGAACTGGAAGGGTAGTATTTACAGTATTTGGAAACGATGGGAAATTCGGAGGTTGTTCATTCTGAGTTTGATATTCTTGTCAAACTAAGGGATTGTAGTACTGTAGTCGTGGCATGTTTCGCTAGATGTTGGTCTTGTTTGTGAAGAAAATGAACATAAAGCGACTCGACGCTCAGCGTCTCAAAAAACACGTATGGTTGGCACGTCCATTTCCAGATTTGCTGTATGTCTTTTGAAATATTCACAACGTCTTGCATCTTCAAAGTTGGAATCAATGGAAGCGTGATCGATATCGCGCCGCATCGCTGACTGTGTAGCATCCCGATCCGCATCGCTGAGTGTGTGAAAGAAGGACTTCAGAAAACGAAGGTACTCAGCTGAGCACGCTAGAAGTCTAGACATCCATCGGCCTCTGCTAGCTTTGCCAGGACCTGCCCGAGCATCAAAGCACAGCTCGCATCCAGTCCAGTGGTGGGTTCCTTAGCATCAAGTCAACTGCAGCGTAATGAATGGGTCCTGTGATGTTTGGTGTTTACTCGAAGCAAAGGCAACGTATCTTCTAGTGGCACGTTGAGGCCATGATGGGTGCAGCCTAAGGTCATCCAAGAACATGATGGGTGGCGATACAACGAGCTCCACACCTGACAAACACGTTCTTTGAGTGTTTTCAATTTCAAGTGTACAATCACCAAATGCCTTCAGTACTGCTCGGGATGTTTTGCAAGTAAGATACTGTGCTTCTATGATCTTCTATGCTGAGGAACAACACCGAAGAAGCTGCAAGTGAGTCATGGGGAAGCTCAAGCTGGATAAGAAGAAAACTGCTACATTGTTACATTACAAATTTAACAAAGAGGCTTAGCAAAGAAGTCCCATGAGAACACTGGTGATCTATGGCTTAGCCACTCATCACCCTCCTCCCCGAACCTGTCCAGTCGCGAACCCGGCCTATGGCGACCCTTCGGCGCTCTCCACCCGAAACTCCGCGTCGCAAACTGTCTCCAATTCTGGAGTTAGCCACCTCCTGGCAGAAGCGAAACCAAACGAACTTGAGCAACTGGAACATTGGACCGTTACGGACCGTTGGTGTTCTGTTTGTTCCTTCACCGGAAGAAAAGACGTCGAATTCCTGCCTCCAAATTCAACGTCTTCAAAGCCCAAGAGACACGGCCGGCCCTTTGCGAGGCCTCGGATTCGTTGCATCCGGATCGCATCGGGGTGCGGTGTCCATTCCGCTCCGATGCAGGAAGGTCTATGCCTTTGTCCTCAGAAACATGTCTTTCCAGGCCTTTTCGGTCCGAACTTTGCCTTCTTCTGGATCCGAGGCAACTACTGAGAGTGCTCGCAGACGCATGGCGGCCGAAAATTCCAGCGCCTGAAGATGGGATGATGGATGGTTTTAAGCACATGCCATGCCAGTGTGGCTTGAAGGGGATGCAAGGAAGGACAAGTGACAAGGCGAGAGCAGCATCTAGTATCATCTACTGACCTAGTATGACCTGGTGAGTTGAAATAAATTACAGTAAGTTCGCTCACACCTTTGAAGGTTCCATTCAGGTCCCTATGCCCCACTGCAATTACTGAATCTCCCTTTCCAGTGGGTTTTTCATCCTGTCAAATGTCTCATACACATCCTCTTCATGTTTCAGGCCTCCCGCACTGTCAAAGTTGCTCCCAAGATATCGTCCTTTCACGGTCGACCGGTCGGACCCGGTCGAGACGCCGTGGGTGGGTGGTTGACCGGACGAGCGGTGAATGGTCGACCCAACATCTCCTGGTACACAAAGGAGATGTGTCGACGACGACTTGCCGGAGACATGGCCTGCAAGCAATGTCTCCGCTGCACTTGCTGCACGTGCTGCAATCGACGGGAATGAAAGGAGGTGCACGTTCGTACGTACAAAGGTCAAAGATGTTTAGTTCTTCCAAAACAGGACTGCAGTTTTGGGGGAAAAGAGCACCTGCTCTTGCCGGAACAAGAAGCTAGTAACAAAGGGAGCACCTCTTGCCGTTCACCACTTTTGCAACACCTTGCCGTTGGGCCTCGCCTTGCCGTTGATGCAAACGGTGGCAGTGTCTCCGTGTGACATGCGCCCTGACAGCGCCTGCATTTTTTCTGAGACAGGCTGCGTTGAAGACAACCATGTTAAAGAAATGCCCAAGTCATACCGTCCAGATTTGGGTGTGTATTTCAATAGGGAGATCCCCCTATATAACCAATGGAATTTGGCCTATGGCGGCTTTGGGAGGTCTCCCTATTTTCATACAAACCACAACCATCCTTGTACAATAGCGAATCGCGAGCTCTCCACGATGCCTCAAGCAGAGTCGTCTTTCCACTGCCAGAGGGTCCAAGCAAAGCCACCAAAGCGCCACGCCCCGAAGATGAGGACTGCGGCGAGAGTCCCACCGTTTGGAACACGTCCGAGCGAACTCCGCAAAAGTCAAGCGACATCCGCAAGAGTCGAGCCTCTACAGCTCCAGCGACATCTTTCAACACCTGGCAGTGCTTGGCTTCAGCTCCAGGCTTCAGCTCCAGGCAGTGCTTTTGTGATGTGGGCGTGT